CCCCCCCCCCCCCCCCCATATTTATTGTATTATATTATTATTTTTTTAATGAGATATAGATTAGTGGTTTTATTGTTCCTTTTGTTTTTCTATCTCCTTGCTTAGGATAGTCTGGCAAGTTTTGTTCTCAATATCAAGAACCATTCACATGATGGTTAAGACGGCAAACTTCTTCGTTGTATCTTCACAACAGTATTAATATTTGATCTTGACTCCTATAAGCCAAAAAGCCTCTTGAAAACATAAGTTTCGCTATACTTTCAATTTTCTCCAACTTCCAAACAGCCCTCTTGAGACAATTAGACCTCTCATCACGTTGAAGCCTCCTTATATCTATGTCTATTTCTCTTCTCTCAAGCACATCATTTATCTAAATTCAATCACAGAAATCTGTGAGTCTTCTAATCGATATGAGGCTATATCATATCCACAACAATCACTTTACTTTCAGATGAATATCAAAGACTAAATCAATATGTTCAAAGTGCTAAAAAAAACACAAACTAAAGACCAGAATTGTAACTAATTAAGGTAGATTAATGAATTGCATATTTACAAAGAAGCATGGATACAAGTACGACACACAAAGACACATGACACGACACATTATTTTTATAAAAAATCTAGGCCACAGACATGAGTCACATAACGATAATATGTTTATTAGAATTGAATTTGTAAAAGTATATATCATTTTTACACCATAAGAAAAATCTGAGTCAATAATTTATGCATTTTTCGCTCCCCTCCTTTTTTTTTATCCTATATTACTATGTGTTAGTGTTCAATACCAATGTAACAGATGTAGTATCTATATTGGTTATGTACAACAAGTGTCCAACACATTTATTGGGCTAACAAGTATCCAAAATGTGTCGGAGAGTCCAAGTGTCCAACACGCCAAACTAAAGTATATATACTTCTTAGCATATTTACGTATTTAGAAAGCTAAGGTTCTGGATGCTACAAGACAGTTGAGTTTCCAAAAGAAGCCGTCGCCGAAATTGACTGCAACTTTTAAGGGAGTATCATCGTCAATATTCCTCTTTCAAGATCCACCTACCAATGCAAGACTGAATCTTTTACCTGTTCGGCTTTTTGGGCTTTCCACGGACTCAATGGACAAGATTATTGAACAGCCTTTTTAATTAATGGGGTTGTGCTTTCATCTTGGCTGCAAGTTCTGATCTTAATCTTTTAACTATTTCTCATGGGCGAGTCAGAAAAGGCTTGGAGACGGCAGTATTGACCGTCGATTTATCAATTACAATAAGTGTCATCATACGATGAGATATATACTCTTAAATATGAACGTAACTTCCTATGAACCTTCCAAATAATATTTGATATAAACTATTTTCTGCACAATCGTTACCCAAACTTTATACAAAGAATAATGAATAAAGAACAAAGAAAAATTAGATTTTAAATTAAATCTAAAAATACTGAAGGAGCGTTTGACTAAGAAGCCTAGATTTAACATTAGAATTGTATAGATAATAGATATCTAATTGTAGAAAGGACCATGAAGGGGCCTGAACATGATTAGAGAATTGGGGTTGTGACGCTGTTTTGGTGAGATCAGCTCCAATTATTTTATTCTAAGGATCAACTTGGTTTAAAGAAACGGTGATGTGGTCGACTGTACCAAGTAGTAGGTTTTGGGTTTTTGAATTGACTGAGGCGACAAATAAGATCGCTGGTCAGAAATTTGGGTTAATGGAAGTGGGTTTACTTTATTATTATCCCTTGTATTCACAACTTGAATGAAATTTGTTAGGTTTATTGACCAGATGGGTCCTCCTGAATTTCTTAGGAGCTTTGGAATGGTGTCGGGGCTAGCAGGCCTACTAACATGAACAAGCCTAGAGCCCATTATCCACTTTCACATCATGCAAATTTGAGTTTTAAAGCATAAATCAACTATTTTTTTAATTCACGAGTTGCTTCTTAATATGACAATACATCTGTACCAATTATTTTTAAACACAACATGAGTTGTATAGTCAAATCAATATGCGCAAGAAAGAAAATCCATTCCAAACAAGCACAAAATTAGAAGTCACAACTATTAAGAGAAAATTAAGTTCTATATTTAATCACTAAGTCATATCTATGATATCCATCTAATGACTCCAATGTTTAAGAAAAAAATAATTATCTCTAAACTTTATTTACATTTTTACCTCACTATGGTAAATAAAGTACTCATCAGACATGTTCATTAGATTATCCAATTGTTTGCTACCTTAAACCAATTCAAACTTAAAAGATGAATTCAATAGCATGCCACGCAAACATTTAAGCAATGTAGAAACTAAATAGAAGCACGGCACACTTAGTGATGATAGTCAAAGCTTTCTATTTTGAGGTTAAAAGTTTGGGTCTAAATATATTATATAATGCAAAAAAAGTATCTAATAACGATGATGAATCTATTTAAATAGATTTAAAAAAGCAGAGAAATCCTGATTAGCAGCATTACCTTTGAATTCAACCAGCATCCTTGAAACATCCCAGTGCATCCCAAGAGGCCAAGACGTCACCTCTTTACTGTACAAAACGGGCGGCCTAGCAAAAGCATGAGAGATTAGTTTTCTTACATAATTGCCTTAAGATATTATCATGTAATATGATAATCTGTTTCTTTTGACTCCAGATAAAGCATATGATGTTAAACATTGGACCTCTGATCACCATCACTAATATGTGTCAAATAAGTTCAATAACAACATTTCAAAAGCCTTTCCAATTTGCATAGTAACTCAGGAAAACAACCCCAAAGAAATCGATTTTGCATCCGGTCGCAATGCAACTATCAACAATGATTCTTCCACCTATTTGGAATGACTTTTTTAGGGCTTAAAAATACATTTTTCACTTGAGCATACTTTTTAAGCCATTAGAAAGTTCTTTCAAACATGCTCATCTTCCCATCATACAATCGCAAAATCTTCATCCACAGCATGAGCTTCCTCACTTTTCTCCACACAAAGTAGCTTCTCCCTGAGCTTAATAATAAATTCTTCCCTAGCACTTTCATGCTCATTTAGAAACCTTTTTAGGGTATCTTTTCCACGGAAACTCTGACCATTGAAACTGTAGTTCGAACCAGCCTTCGAGATGAATTTGTGTTTCAACCCCAAATCAATAATCTCTGTTTCCCGACAAATTCCCTTGCCAAATTCCAGCTCAAATTGAGCGCTTCTAAATGGAGGAGCCAGCTTATTCTTCACAATCTTCACAAGAACTTGACTACCTACCGTCTACAAGTGAAAGCAGATCAGAAGTAGATCGAGGCCACAAAATGAGAACAATTCTGAATAAGGATTGTAAAAGTGAAATGTTCAAAGATTGCATCAAATACTAGACCGAGTAATTTAAGGAATGCAAAGAGTACAATATCTTTTTTGCTTCATAAAACAAATGCAGAATACAAAATCAAATGTTAGCATATCTTTTAGCCTCCAACCCGTGCCAACCCTCAAAAAGTGCACCAATGGCATCTAGCTTTGGAATATGCTACTACAACAAAACGGAAAGAGCATATTAAAATGACTTTTTAAGTGAACGTGTAAAAAAAAATATTTTTAAGAACTTAAAAAGTCAAATAAGCACAAATAAGCACAAGTAAGCTCCGTCTCGTTTGCACACACTCTCTTTCTCTCCTTTGATTCTCCCTCTTCAACAAATTTCCCACTCCCCCTAAGTAAATATCATATATATCTCGCTCTTTCTCTCTACCCTCTCACTCTGACCAAGTCTTTCCCTCTCTCCATCGCTCACCAAGTCTCTCCAAAAAAAAAATTCCGTACTCCTTGCTCAATCACACTAAAATTAAAAATATAAATATAAATAAATGAACGAAGGTTACTCAAACACAATCTAAGCAAATAGGCTACCTCAATGCATTTGTGAAAGTTTGGCAGTTCTAAAGTAGGATGATCATGCGGTTCATAAAAACTGTTGAGATAATAAAACCACAGGTCAGAAGATCACGTCCAATTAATTAAGCACTTCTTTGAAAAGCACAAATAAACACACCCTTATAATTTTTATTAGAAAACCAGTAACCTCTTAGAAAGATACACAAATGGTACAGTTTAATGTATACTCATCCTGTAGTAGTTCATGCAAACAAGACCGCACGGAATGTAATTGAATTTAACCACCAGTTAAAGTAGCCCATTGAAATTGTGAAGCCACGATTGAGATTTTTTTTAATTTGTAAACTATAAATCAAATTTATACCTCATCAAGCTTCTTGATAAGTCCTATACTTTTAACGTTTAGGCGCACTGAAGCATAGGATTTTAATGCATTTCCACCACAAGTAACTTCAGTCGGGCCACCAAATCCTTCAAAAGTTGAAATGTTTGACCTCACCTGAAGATAGACTCAAACATGAATGTATTATTTCTCAACAAATATCTTTTATCTCATGGAAGTAAAATGTAGGAAAAGATACTTCGATGCCCTGTGCAGATGCATTATAATATACACCAATGCGTGCACCACTGGATATAAACAGTTGGGTAATGAACCTCGGAAAAGAATGTTAGAATGGGTGATGAGTCATAAATTAGTCAAAACAGACCAACAAGCAACGAAGCAAAACATGATGACTCTCAAAAACATAAAAGTTAATGGACGTTTTAATAAGGTTAATCAACCAATACAACGATTATTGGGTAGCATGGCATAACCTAAATATTAAAAGGAAAAGGCTCACAAACCGCATATATTCATTGAAGCAATAACAACAATTAATTATATCTTCAATCCGTACCATTAAGAAAAGTAGTAGACGAAACTTACCTGATTAATAAATACCAAAAGTGTTTGTGATGATGATAAAGAGTGAGTCAGTTTTCTAAGTGTCTGACTCATCAGTCTAGCATGAATTGCCATATGAGAATCACCCACTGCACCATCAAATTCATTCTTCGGAACAAGCGCAGCTACCTATCATAATGCAAATTTCGTTGTCAAAATAGCAATTAGAACATGGATAAGAACTGATCATAAATGCTTCCACTGATATGCATCACAATTATGTGCTGGGCATCGCAGTTATGTTTAGGGCTTCACATACCAAAAGCTTTATCCCTAATACTGACTGAAATGAAACTAGAAGGAAAAAGAAACGAAAATAAATTGTGGTTTATGGCGCTAGTAGAATTTATTCAGAAACTATATCTGAGGATGAAAATAGACACAATGGATATGTTTTAAGAACACAAAAACAAAAGTTCTCCTACTACTGCAATCAAAAAAGTTCTATTCTCTCAAACCAGGGAAAAGAACTAATATCAAACTCTATAAAGGTATCCTTACGAGACCCATATGCATTTCAAATTCAAACCACATAAAAAACATAACATACACTGTCAACAATAACAACGTCAACGGAACCACGCCGAATTAGGGTGTCTACAAGGCTTAGAGCCTGTTCGCCAGAATCTGGTTGTGAAAGAAGCAGCTTACTGGTGTCCACCCCAATAGACTTAGCCAGTGCTGGATCAAGAGCACGCTCCGCATCAATGAAAGCACAATAACCTACAGCAGAAAAAAAAATGTTTAAGAGAATGAAGAAGAGCATGAAAAAAAATGTTTAAGAGCATGGACAAAACACATTCAACAGGGTTGAGGATGCAGCTTTGGTGCCATTTAGTAGTATGTGTTATAGGAAAATTATTTATGCTTAGAGGGAGTGAAAAAGTCCCAAGACAGTGCATGAAGAAAACCTCCTTCCTTCTGTGATTCAGCAATTACATGCAGTGCAAGGGTTGTCTTCCCAGAAGCCTCTGGACCAAATATTTCCACAATGCGTCCCTGAAGAGATCTCGAGGTCAAATCACATATGAGATGTTCACACCTTAAATTATATAAAATAATAGGTTAGTTATATGTCATTTCTCGTAAGACTATAAATATAGCCCAAAAAAAGCATAAACAAAGTTGACTTCTTGTTTCAACTAAACTAAATTTAAAGGTATAAAATGTAAATCCGCAGACCAAAGGAAAATTCAAGTGAGATTTCCTACTTTTTACTTCCAATTCTATCCTTCCCAAACCATATAAACCGAAAGCTTGGTACATGGGAAATAAATCTTCATGGCCTTTGTGAGACTGATCTCCAAGGCGCTACATTGTTGAGATTCAAAGGCATTAATAATGGATGTTGTATGGTGGCCAGGCAAGGAGTAAAGCCAAGAGAAAAAAACGGGAGGACAAGGATGACTTTCCTAGTAACATATCTTCTAAGAAGGGACACGACTTTGACGGTTTTTATCTGTCAATCTCAGTCTCATCTATTTCTAATACATATTTACCCGTGATAATTGGATCAAACAACCGAGCTATCTATTGAGCATTTCATAGACAGTGGGGCTGAATGTTGAGACTTAAGCTTACATTGTGCTTCAAAAGTAATACCCGATAGGCCTCATTGTTGAGGAAAGTGAAAAGAGAAATTGGCTTGAAAGAAAGGATTTAACATAAAATGATGGTCAACTCCTACCTAGAATTGAAAATCTTAGAGTTAGATATCATGAAATAAAAAACATTTTTAGTTTTCCAAGATTAAGATATACTAATTTTACAAAATGAAAATTAAATCCGTGAAACATTGTCGAAGGAAAAAAACATGGAAAATATGTTTTCGTTGATTTCTAATCGATTGTGAGATGGTTCTAAAATCCCCAAACATATGACAGTTAAAGATTCCGTGAATGAATTCAGGATTTCAAGCACAAACTTGCAAATTACCTTTGGAAGTCCACCAGTTCCAAGTGCTATATCCAGGGCAAAGGAACCTGTTGATACCACAGGGACGTGATTAGAACAGACAGACTGACCAAGCCACATGATAGAGCCCTTGCCAAAAGATGAGGAGATCTGATCAAGGGCTTTTCGAAGAGCAACCTCTTTCTTCGACACATTCTCTTCAAAGCCACTACCAGACTTCAACTTTCTTCTACCTGCTAATCCAAAATAGAAAAAATGAGATAGCTACATAGACTCCAATAAAGCTCCTGAAGAAGGAAACTTTAACAGATTAAAAATAAATTAACCATCAGAAGTTGGATTTATATTCCCAAGAGGAATTTTAAAGCCGAATTCAGAATCATTGAAAGAAAAAGTGATCGGCATTCACCATCAAACTTAGGATCAATTCAAATTTACTATAGCATGAAAATAAGGCTCCATTTTCAATATGATGTAAATTCAAAAATAACATTCAGAACCTTTCGAAGAAAATCCGTTAGTTTGATTAGATATTCCCGGCATTAGGCTCCAGAATCCCTGCACATGTAATAAACACCAGCTCAATCTCAGCATGCTCCTCACAAGAGAGAAAGAAATACATCGAACAATTAAAATTTCAAAAGCACAAACTACAAACCAACAATCTACTTCTTCAGTGCACATTTCTATCGTAACATCATAAGAAACATCCTACTGAGACCGTAAATGCGAGCATGAGCGAAATAAAGAAAATCAGAAATCAAGATAACAATCATGGAAAGAGGGAAACCTTGTGTTTGAAAAAGGAGGAATTCAACGGAGACGCATTCCGAAGAAGCCTCGCCATATCACACCAAGGGAAAGAAGTTTCCTCGGAACAAAATTTGGAGAACAGTTTAATGAAGTTCCACAACTAAAATGCTAGGGTTTTCATGGTTGCGCACGTAGCAGAGTGAGAGGAAGGAAGAAGATGAGCAGGTGGAGTTGCGGCAGACGCAAGTAGCTGAAGTGAGGCTCCTGGCTACGCTCTTCCCTCCGCGAGGATCGAAATTGGCGGGCAAATCGATGTATGAAACGATGAGTTAAAAAACGAGGACCCATCTGAAATATAATGGGCCAAGCCAGGTTTAAGGGACATTTAAGGCCCATTAAAAACCTGGTCAAATTACAAATTTAACCTCTAAATTTTTAATTTTTTTAAAAATTAAAATTTTAGGTTTTTATCCGCCACAGACGGTAAATTTATATCAACCAGTCAACTAACCGAATATCGAACCATGAACAAAAAAAAATGTATGAGAGAAAAGCATATTGGCTAGTGATTGTGAGGCCCCAATTCTTGACTGGTGGGGACACCAAAGGCCTCTGCCCTTCCATCCTTGATGAGGGAGGGCAGAGCTTTTTTTTTTTTTTTTTCATGTTGTCAAATGTCAAAGAGTTGAACAATGGTTTTTTCGTGTTGTCAAAGAGTTGAACAATGAAAANGAGTTTAACCACCAAGTTCGGGATGGATTGGTGTGGTTCCTCTACGCCTAGGACACCAGAATATCGAACCATGAACGAAGAAAGGCATGAGAGAAAAGCATATTGGCTAGTGATTGTGAGGCCCCAATTCTTGACTGGTGGGGACACCAAAGGCCTCTGCCCTTCCATCCTTGATGAGGGAGGGCAGAGCTTTTTTTTTTTTTTTTTCATGTTGTCAAAGAGTTGAACAATGGTTTTTTCGTGTTGTTAGAGTTGAATAATGAAAATAGATGTCAAATGCCTAATCGAATTGATCAGGTCATGTAGGAACAAGGTTCAAGTCTACCGGTCTGTTATTCAGCTGCATACATCACTGCACTTCCACTTGACACCTATCGTGATGATAAACGGCTCATCTCGTCGTGACCTTCTCTGGGGAAGTCGGAATAGGAGAGCTCTCACGACTTTTTTGCTTTTTTTAAGAGAAAAAAAAATACGACCTGAAATAAATAAATATATATATATATATATATATATATATATATATATATATATATATTTATTTATTTATTTATTTATTTATTTATTTATTGAAACCTTTTCAAGATGCTTAGAATTTTATAATTTTTTTTTAACAATTCTTAATGAAAATAATAATAATAAAAAAAAGCGCAGTTATTTTCACAATATTTGAATTTTTTTTATCAAAACACTTAATAAAAATCTACTTTCAAAATTCCAAAAGTCTATTACAATTTTAAAAATATATTTGCAAAAGAAAAAAAAAACATAGCATTTGAACTTTTTGTCAAAGTACTTTGTAAAATATACTTTCAAATATTTGTTTTTTTTTTTTTTTTTTGGTTAAATGGCACACATAATATAATTTAATTTTAAATATGGTCGAGATAATTGCTTCACACAAAATGAATCAAAATATTGATATACAATTAAAAAAACAAATTATCTAACCAAGCTCAACCTTACATTTCTAAACATAAGCTTTAGAAACACGAGTTCATACTTCCAGCCGATCATCAACTTTATGGATTTCAGAACTCTAGGGTTTATGATTCCGAACCCGTGCCCAACCGAGTCTAGGTTCATTCGACTTTTGTGTCAAATTCTAGAGATTTTTCTAAAAGAAAATTACGAATCAGCATTGCCATCTTTCCTACTAGAATCATTAGTTGGCTTCTCTGGAGACACGATGCGTCCGCTCAGAGGATCAACAACACGAGTATCACGTGGTCCACCTTTACGCGCCATTGCAACCATTGGAGGGGGTGGAAGTACCCCTGATCTAAAAAGAATACGTTGCATGGGTTCTGAAGGCTGAGCACCAACTGAAAGCCAATACCTAGAAGGAAGGGAGAGTGTGATGAGCGAATGATTAGTATGAAAGACGAGGTTATTGCGTGTACAAGTTCGAAATGAATACTACCACAATAAAACAGCAAAGCTTATGAAGCAAAATAATCTAAATCATCCAATCTCAGGTTATAGCAACTCTTTTTGAATTATAGGAGCTTTAAAAGAAGAGAGATGGTAGGTGTTGCATAAAATGATACTCTACTGGCAGATATTGTTCGCTTTAGTGCGTTACGTATCATCGTCAGCCTCACAGTTTCTAAAATTCGTCTGCTAAGGGAGGTTTTCACACTCTTATAAGGAGTGCTTCGTTCCCTTCTCCAACCGATGTGGTATCTCATAATTCACCCCTCTCGAAGGCCAGTGTTCTTGCTGGCACACCGCCCGGTGTCTGGCTCTGTTACCATTTGTAACAGCCCAAACTCACTGCTAGCAGATATTTGTCTGCTTTTGCCTGATACGTATAGCCGTCAGCCTCACAGTTTTAAAACATGTCTATTAGGGAGAGGTTTCCACTCCCTTTTAAGGAATGCTTCGCTCCCCTCTCCAACCAAGGTAGGTGGGATCTCACACTGCATACTAGAACTCCTTACGGTGGTCGATCAAGAAAGCAGTTTGACAACTACCTTACACAAGAAAGTGCTCTGAAGAGCGGCCTTACTATATTCATAGAAGACTAATTTACTCAAAAAGAGCTGCCCAAGAATTCAAAGCAATCAAGGAATTGGGGGAATGTTAACCTGATAGACTCTAAGCCACAAAGAGACCAGAGACCAAACTCTAAATGCCTAAAACTTATACCTGATGGTTTGCTTTTATGCATAGCATGAGACCGTACAATACGAATTATCTTCCAAGATAATGCTTCGTCTTAGACGTGTTATCCTCCGTTCTGTCTAATAATCATTAATCAGAACTTGAATTAGAAATGCAAAAGGTAGCAGAGGTAGCAGACAACAGAAGCAAAACAAAATAGTTATTAAACAGTTTCTTTGGTTCCACGGTGCTCGTTTTTCCAGTTTTTCCAATTATGAAGCATGGCTAGGCGATCCTACTCACACTTTTACCACTATACTATATCTGCTCCAATGCAATTAAGGAGCAGCCCAATTACATTATCAAATGACTCGATGCTCTAAAAAAGTAAGGATTTCCTCATCGGCTCCATCAACTTGATAGCCAGATCCCGTTTTCCATTCTTTCTCCATCACCATTAGAAAATGTAATCACCAAAATATACAAAAGCTTGGGTTATCAAGAAAATATAATCACTTCTCAACCATCCAAACCTTTTTTTCATACTTTGATTCATAAGGTGCAAGATGTGAACTGTTAGTAAGAAATGGTATAGAAAATAGTATAGCCTGAATTTGGAATTAGGACTTCTTGTTTCAATAGCACTTTGCTTCATCACCAGACCTTACAGCTTCAGCTAATTTGTTTGTTAAGTTGCCTAATTAAAACTAGTATTAACAATTGCAACGCAGCGATTAAATTCAAGAACCAAGCAGACTTTAGAATGAAGTTAGCTACAATCCAAAAGCAATCACTTACTTCACTCTTTCAAAATTAAGTCCCATTCGTTTACCACCATCTTGACCTGCAAAAAGATAAAAGAAAAACTCAAACCAAGGGAGAAAAACAAAACAACGTTCAAATCAAGAATCTAAATTCTAACACGCAAGCTAGCAGGAGTAATCAATCACATTTTTTCCAGATAAACAAACAGATAGAAAGTTAAAAATATCAAATGAATTAACCTGGCAGGGGATTATAGTAACCTAGAACCTCCAGATGCTTGCCGTCCCGGGGAGAACGGCTATCGGCAGCCATCACCCTGTAAAACGGCTTGTTCTTACAACCAAATCTCGACAATCGAATTCGAACCACCATTTTCGAGCTGGTAAAACCCTGCAAAAATCTTGCAAATTCGCCAAACTGAAATGACGACTAATTAGTGAACAGAACTGGCGCCTTCACTCCGGACTGGCTAGGGCTCCGGGTTCTCTATCATTTTACAATTCGGGTCACATATGGGTCCAACCCGGTATAGGCCCAATAATATGTTATTAGGCCCATCACACCAAGGTTGCAGTCCGAACTTCGTTTCGATCTTGTAGGCCCATCCTAAACAAGCCCATAAAGTTTGTCGTTGAAATAATATATTTCTTTTTAAATTTAAAACTCATTTTCATTTTTTTTTTTTTTAATTTCAATCCCTACAAAATATAAAAATAACTTTTTGGGTCTTTTAACACCTTAAAAACAAATTTTAATATTACATATGGTTTGTTTTGGCCCGTTACGTATCATGGTCAGCATCACAAATTTAAAACGTGTATGTTAACCTTTATAAAGAATGTTTCATTTCCCTCTCCAACCGACGTGAGATCTCACAATCTACCCCTTGGAAGCCCAACGTCCTCACTTCCAGTGTCTGATTCTGATACAATTTGTAACAGACTAAGCCCATTACGTATCATCGTTAGCCTCACAATTTTAAGAGGTTTATACACTAAATGAATGTTTTGTTCCCTTCTCCAACCGACGTGGGATCTCATATTAAATAATCATTTTAAATTTTAAAAATAAAAAACAAAAATAATTTAAAAAAACTCGGGTTGAACTACAAATTAGTCCATTTTTTCATACCATTGATAATTAATGAGCCACGATTTATTAAGAATCAACTACTTATTCACACATAACTATTAAATAACGAGTGAAGCTAAACTAGCCTCCTAAATTTAAGCTTAAATAAACAAATACATAAGACAAAACAACGAACGTGTTATAAAGTTCAAATCAAATTAGTCATCACATAAAAACGTGTCATTATAGAGTCGGGAGATTTATTAGAATAAACATAGTCCAACCATAAAACACACGTGTTTGAACAATCTTCTTGTTCGAACATTAATCAAATGCCACGTGGGAAGTCAATTTGACAAACCATACGCTAAATAAAATATCAATAATCTTAAATTTGTTAATATATATATATATATGTTCCCACATTGTAAAAATGATTGATTATTCCACAAGTAACGCCATAACTTTATGATAATATTATTGGGCTTGCTTGGCAGCGAAATCCAGATGGCTAATTAGGTTGAAAAAAATTCAAATATGGGGATCGTTCAATCTTATTATAATATTTATTTATTTATTTGGGATTGACCTTATAAAGTTGGAAAAATAAAATAAATAAAATAAAAAACCTTATATATATATATATATATATATTAGAAAATAAAAATAAGAAAAATAATTATAAAATTAAAAATTAAAAAACACAAAAATAATATCGAGATATGGAAATTAGGCTCCATATTAGCCCACCTAAAAAAATATATATAATAATAATAATAAAAAGAAAAAAACTCCAAAGTGGAAACCAGCTCCCATAATGTTCCACAGCGATAGCCATCTAAGAAGGACTCGTAGACTTTGAACGGAGAATTCAAAGTAGGGCATAAATTATTATTTTTCCCTAATTAAAATATAATTTTAATTTTATTGATTTAATCTTAATTTCAATTTTAATTACGATATTGTGCTTTTAAGATTCCTCGTACCTTCTTTTACTCTGATTAAAGCTCATTTAACGCGTCAACTGATATTAATGACGTCAAAATAACATGGTTTAATAAAAAAAAGTAGTATAAGAATTTAACTGATTACAAAATATAAAATTTTGTGGGATTTTAAAACAGTATTATAATAATAATAATAATAAATAAATAAAAGTAGTAATATAGTCAAACATGACTATAGTTATTGTCACGGTCTATAAGGTACTAAAGTCTTACTTATACAATGGGACATTAAACTTTATCTTTATTATAGGACCACTTCATTTATTGTCACTCGCACATACATTACATGCATAGACATAATTTATCATATAAAACTCATTAAAAAAAAATTTAAAATTTTGAAAATATAAACCTATCTTGTGACATCCACGAGGATAAAATGATTAAAAAATACTTAAAAAAATTAGAGATATTGTCTATATCAATAAGTTGTACCTTCATTTTCGGTAAATCAATCATAGGAACTTTATGGTTAAACGTGTTTTACTTAAAACAATCTTATGTTGAATGGCATCTTATGAATTTTACTGAGATGCATATGAATGAGGACAAAACATTATGAAAAGACTTTAGTTAAACGCGACCCTATCGCTGGAAAATGTCGGAATAAATTTATAAATTTCTTAAAATGATTTTAGTTATTTATTATTGTTGTTATTATTTTAATTTTTTGAAAGTTTGAGTTTGGGTAGGTTTGACTAAAAATGTCGATGCACGCTTTGTTTCGTGGAGAATAATAATAATAATAATATATATATATATATATATATAATCTAAACTTAAAATTTTCGAACTTTCTATTTAAAGTATCTCGGTTTAAGATTTTAAGCAATTATTTTCTTATTACAAGATATAAATTTATTGATATATATATATATTATTTATTTATTTATTTATATTATGACTTAGGAGTTTAAAATATTAGTTAATTTAAGGTAATTGTAATATTAGCAATGGAAATTAAAATATAACATTATATGAAGAATTTGGAAAAAGGGAGATATGGTTGGTCAGAGGCGGGGATTCGGAAACAACGGGGAATTTAACACAGCAGGCACGCACGACTCAACCCAACTACCCATTTTTAAATTCATTTTCCAAAAATAATAAAGGAAATTAGATATCAAATTATTATAATTTTACATTTTAAATTAATTTTTAGTTAGTTTATTTAAATATCTAATATATTTTAAATTATATTTTTATTATAATATTAATAAATTAAAATGCGTAAGACTCGAATTAATTAATTAAGTAAAAGTGAGAATTACCAAGAAAAAAAATATTTACGGAGCAAATTGCTTTTTCCTGCAAGGTGAAATGGGACGATATGTCGCTCTCTAGGTAATGTGTGATTCAAAAGTCAATGTCACAAAGCCGACGACTCTTTAAATGGAAAAAGCTAAATACGACATTGGAAATTGTGCAACGTAGTGTTTATATCTTGTCAGTTTTAATTTAAGCCATAACGATCCGAACTTGACACCTTTGGACTTATTAACCAACCGCTAACCTCAATTGTAATGATTATTATTATTTTTTTAAAAAATTAATATGATTTTAATAATATTTTTTTTCAATTAGTCTCGAGATAATATCCATTTATGCTTGGGGATTTTAGTCAAATTGTAGATTTAAATTATAATTTTTATTATAAAGTTTTTAAAACATTGCTTAAAATTTCAATTCTCGTTGAATTATAAATAAATAAAATGTAATAAAAAATGTCGTTATTAAATGAGTTGTATTTTGTCCGATTTTCTGTATCGAGTCCTTATCATAAAAATTATATTATGAACCATTCAACACAAGATGAATATATAGTGGGGTCGTTTTTTTTAAAAGAAAAATTAAAGGAGACCTTTAATAAAGTTAGAATTTAAATTCGAATCATTCAAGGTTATGAATTATTATAAATAAATAAACAAATATTTAATAACTAAAATCTTTTTTTTTTTTATTATAATACTGTTACATATTGTCATCAGCCTCACGGTTTTAAAATACACTTACGAAGAGAAGTTGTCACACCCTTATAAAAAAATGTTTCGTTTTTTACGCAGGATCTCACAATCAATTTTTCTTGAGGACCCAACGTCCTAGTTGGCACACCGCTCGATGATTGGATATGATACCATTAGTAATAACTCAAGTCCATGGCGTGGGAGAAAGAATTTTTTGAGTCTCGTTCGACCAACTAACTATATTCCTGAAACATACAGTTCACGATGCTCAATCAGTAAGTTATCTATAAAAAAAACGTCAACTCATATTTTCGCTCGATTTTCATCAATAAGACGTATTAGAACAGAATGCGTTGGTGTTTTTTGAATAGTGCGAATAAGAGTCGTACTAAAGAAAAATAAAAAATTGGTTATGAAGATAACACATGGTCGGAAATTTATACAGACGCAAACAAGTTCAATAGGAAAGTCGTTAGCGACATGTCTCCTTTTATCTTCATTAATTAAAAAAAATTGACACGTCAATTTTCAATTTATTTTAAATTAATTTGATTTATAAAGTAAACAACATATTTAATGTCCATTGATATTAATGGCAAAAATAGGAAATAGATAAAACTATAGGACTTGGGAGCAATAAGACATTAATTAATGCCCTTCACATTAAATTGGCTGCTACTCACATATGGTGTCCCATTCATTCACAATACACTGTACGGAGTAATGTCTGGACCTAATTTTCAAATCATCGTATTATTTTAATTTTTTTTCAAGAGTTTTTATTTTTTATTTTCCAGAATTTCATTATATTTTAGTTTATTTATCTGTGATGTCCCATATTAGTTTGGAGGAGAACAAAACACCTGAATTGCTACTCAGTTGTACTAGTTTTTTTGTACTGAGGGTTTGAATCCCTCTCTTTTCGTTTCTGTCAGAGAGACACAAAGAATATTACTACTGTATAAACAAATAGTTTTAGAGTATATTCTTCACGCCTTGGATTACGTCCCGTAGTTTTAGAGTAACCATTACACGATCTCTTTATAAGGGTGTGAAAACTTTACTCTAGAAGACGCGTTTTAAAGTGTTAAGATAAGTCCAAAAAAGACAATATGGGCGTGTATCTTATTAGAAGTAAAATTACCGAATTTAGAAAATTAGGAGTACAAAAACTAAAATGAAAGGCAATGTTTGAGGACAAAATGGTATTTTGATATGTTTTTAATTAAAAATTAATTAAAAATGGCTATTTGATTAGCACATGCGTGTCCAATATGAACTTTGAAAATTATGTTATCTAATCCAAGCTAAAAACTTGTATTTCACTGTCAAAATTATGTTTAAAAAAAATTAATTAATGATTTTTATGATTATAATAAAAAAATAAATAAATTGACTCCGGGTGGCAAATTAGTGGTTGATTAAAA